CCATCCCATTGCCGCACCCTATGACGCTTGTACGGGTTCTATAATACCATTCTGTTGTAGGCGATTCTGTGAATCGGGCAGTTAGTCAAGAGATGGGGCTGACTAACTGCCCGATTCACAGAATGGTATTATACGTACACTGAGCTCATAGGCGCATGGAGACAGAGCCGGCGCTGCAGGGATCCCCTCCCCTCCTCCCCCTCCGCCCCCTCCTCCTCCTCCTCCTCCTCTCCTCTCCTCCTCCTCCTCCTCCTCCTCCTCCTCCTCCTGCAACACAGCTGCGGAGACCGGTTTGTTATTTCACAGGCATATATATAAACCCCACTTGCCTAGTTTCCAACAAACTTCCAACAAACTGTGTTGCTGGGAGAGAGAGGCGCCTTAAAGAGACAACCGGCCTCTGCAGCTGTGTTGCAGGAAGTGCCAGGAGGAGGAGGAGGAGGAGGAGGGCGCAGGAGCCGGAGCCGGGCGCAGGAGCCGGGGAGGGGATTCCTGCAGCGCCGGCTCTGTCTCCATGCGCCTATGAGCTCAGTGTACGTATAATACCATTCTGTGAATCGGGCAGTTAGTCAGACCCATCTCTTCTGATGACAAATGTCACACCTATCACATAGGAGTCCTTCCCATGTAAGCAACATCTGACCGAATTCATTCTTCTATACAACTGGGAAAGATACAGGAGTTCTGCTCCTAATAAAGATGGGAATAATATGTGAAAATATTCTAAAATGCAAAAGAATGTTTACTATCAAGTAACCCTGATGAAATGAATCCTGGATTGATAAGAAACTTTGCAGTTATACCCTTAACGGATCGACCCCCGCGCCAATAACGAAGCTTGTTTTACGCATGCGCGGGGGTCCGCCATCTTTACAAAATGTTTTGTAAATATTTACGAAATTTCGTAAATACCAAAACTTTTTTTGGGAAAATTTTGTAATTATTTTAAATATCGAAACAAAAAAACACCCCAATTACAAATCGATTTTAGAAACAAATTTTTTCTTGATCAAACAGGCCTACTGCTAATTGCCTTGCCCCAACTTTATGGGGCTTTATTTTCCTGTCCTCTTCTGTAAGTAAGGCAAAAGACAACTTGGGACCTCGGTTTCCTTACAAGCTGCATGTTCATGGAGTCACATAGAGAAAGTAGGAAGGAAAGGATCAAATGTGAGACAAAGAGAAAAGCACATTCAACATCCACAGCTCAAATAAATTATTTGTTTGCCAATTGGGAACCATTTTGAGAATACTACAAAATACTACATAGATTATAAATATTGTAAAAAAATGAATAAGTAGTTCAAAACACTTATTTTAAAATCAGGTGGCAAATTTCTTCTAGTTTTTGGAATTTCACTTTAGTAAATGGGTCATTAGAAAGTGATCGAAACAAGTTCTTCTTCAGTCCAGTGGAGATTGGTGGTTGAAGTATTGGGAAACTGGTGAAATTGACCTGGGCCTTTGTCAAAATTTTAAAGGTACATCAGAAGGAACTGGGTTTTTAAAAAACATATGGTTAAGTAGCTCGGACAATGCCTTTAAGGTCTGGACCACAACCAAAGGCATTCATCACAGACAGGTTGAACCCCCTTGGTTGAGCCATATTTGGCTGGAAATTGGGCAATCAGCACATGCCAACCAAGAGCAGCAGCAGTCATTGTATTTCTATGCCGTGATGAAGGAAGCTGTGTATCAGGTAACAGCATATTCCTTAAGGAAGGACATTGACTAGAAAAGTCTTTGATAACAAGGGCGGACTCATGCTTCCAATGAAAGTCCCAGAATTCTGAATGGCCATGTATCCCACACAAAAATGCCATTATTCCATATAAACCTTTTTGTAATGTTCTTCCCCTCGTTTTAAGTCTGATGCTTTGGATACCCGAGATTTAAGCTTCTGTTCCTTAGAATACTTTGTCAGAATAATCCTTACAAATGTACACTTTACTACATTCCCCAGCTCTATGTTTTGAAAATTACAGAACAACGTTTTTATGCAATGCTTAGTTTATTGTGATATAAAAGCTACAGTTCAAGTCAAGGAAAAAGATTTAGTAGAGATTTCCATCTTGCAATGCAAAGCAAAAGTCATAGAGATTTTTCATTGTTGATACTTGCTCTTTAAAACAACCATACCATATTATATTTTAACAGTGGCTGGATCCACACTGCCATATAATCCATATTATCAAATCAGATAAACCACATTATTTGATTTGAACTGGATTATATGAGTCTACACCACCATATACTCCAGTTCAAATCAGATAATCTGGATTTTCTATGGCAGTGTAGATGGAGGCAGTGAAACCTCATCCATGTTTACACAGAAATATATGCCACTGATTTCAGAGAGGCTCACTTCCATTTGGGTAGGTAGGATGACACTATTATGCTGACTTTAGGAAATGGATTACTTAGGCAGGCTATATCGTGAAGCAATAGGAAGGCTGGTGTCAAGAAGCAGATTCCAAAGATAGTGGCACACCACACCAAATCTCATTTTTGCTGCACTCTGTTTGGACTGACTTTATCGCAAGAGAAAAATGTGGTGCTGATAAGATCTCCATGTAAAAAAGAAGTGGCTGTGTTCCTCCTCAGTTGCAGGTATTTAATTATATGCTAACATGTGACAATCTGGATCTCAAGAAAAGATCAGGAGGAAGACTGTTTTTTTAAAAAAGCTGAACAGTTATACACAGTAAAAGACGGGGCATGAAGCCTTGAAGCGTTCTGGTTGCACTGTAAGAATTTGGCCTACCACCAAGTAGAAAGCTTCTTTGTCCCAAATCTCTGCAAAGACTAAGCAGTCCAGAGAATGTGGCAAAGAGGAAAAAATCCAGAGGACTGCCATAATCAAAAATAGGTTTTCCGTATTCGCGCTCCTATGTGTGTGTGTGTGCTTTGTATGAATCACATGGGTCCTTTTATTCTGGTTTAGAGAATTTGCCGAAGAGAATGATACTCTGGGTGCATTTATGGTAGATAAAATAAAGGAAAGGATGGTCAACCATAAATTCCAGGGCTTTTCGATGTGAACGCCTATCCCGGCACAAACGTGGGTCCTCTACTTCCTCGCAACCCTCTTCATTGATTTCAAAAAAGGCGTCATGGACCAGCTGTGTAAGAGTCACTCCTTCTGTGGTTGTTGCTTGAGAGAAGTCAGCCTTTTTAGGATCAGAAAGATCATGCAGACCCAGGCATTGATTGAGATAAAATTTCTTTTCTAAGCTGAATTTGGGGATGAAAAGGTCCACCTCCTCAGGTTTCAGATGACTGGCCCAGTCAAGCAGGTGTTCATGGGTCAGAGAATCTTCCAGCTAGAAGAACAAACACACAATTGTGGTAAGACCATTTTAACCCAAGTGGGCCCAAGATTCAGAGATTACCCCAAAGCAAAGATGGCTCCAATTAATAGCTAATGAGAAATACTTTAGTACCAACATGAGCTTATAATTTAGATGGTCATTATTGGGTGAAGTGATTACTATGTCCATAAATTTATTTATTATTTATTTATTTACTATATTTGTATACCGCCTTTCTCAGCCCAAGGGTGATAAATACCTGAGTCAGGTTGCATCTGCACTGCCATATATCCTATGATCTGATCCAGATTATCTGCTTATTCCAGGATATCTGCCAGTGTAGACTCATATAATAATAATAATAATAATAATAATAATAATAATAATAATAATAATAATATATTTATACCCCACCACCATCCCTCCAAGGGGGACTTGGGGTGGCTAACATGAGTCCAAGCCCAACGAATTACAACAGAGCAAAAGAATACAACAAAAAATCATAAGATAATACATCAAATAAAAATACAATAAAATAAATCAAAAGGATAGTACAAAATAAACACAGAGTATAACATAAATAAAAAGATATTAAACAAAGTGCTTTCGCGCTTTGAAGAGTAGCCACATAATTTTAATGCTAGTGTTCCTCCAGTGTTCTTGTCCCAGGAGTCCCCACCCCCCCACCCCTATACAAAGGTTTCCTATCTCTCTATGAGTTCTCTCTTACAATTAGTTCTGCCCCCTTATCTCACCCGGAGTTTTTAAATCATTTTATGTACATGCGACCCGCCCTTTGTCTTTCTATCATGATGCTTGGTTCCTATGTTTTGTGTATATTGTTTTATATGCTTTGATGTTTTATATTTTAATGTTATGTTGTTTATTTTATTGCAATTTGTATTGTTATAGTGTAATTCTTGTTCGGACTTGGGCCCCATGTAACCCGAGATGGTGGCGGGGTACAAATAAAGTTTATTATTATTATTATTATTATTATTATTATTATTATTATTATTATTATTATTATTATTAGTGGGCAGGTTTAATAGTCCAGTTCAAAGCAGACAATCTGAGATCAGATTCTGGGATATAGGGCAGTATAGCTCCAGCCTTAGACAAATGGATATGAGAGCTGCCTTACTTGTTTGAGAGCTTCTGGCCCACTGTCTGTTGGGAGCATCACATATAAGCTCAGTTCATTGTCTTTGTAAGGAATCTCAATCACTTGAACATCAGTATCCCCGGCATCAAAGGTGGCTGTATTGTAAATACCATTCCTGTTCATCATCTGCACAGTCCGGCAGTCATTCTGTAAACAAAATTAAGGAAATAAAAGATTTTTTTAAAAAAAATGAGAAGGAGGGCAAGCAGGTTGTATTTGCTTTTGGAAGCCTCTATCGGCGTATAACCACATTCAGAATTCCAATGCTCAAATTGAAAACAAAATAATATTTTAAATTAAATTAAAACCCCTAAATAATTATCAAAGAGAAGAATAGAAAGAAGTGGCACAATCCATTGTGGATTTTTAACTAGCCCCACAACTCCCATCCACCCTGAAACTGGATATGAAAAATAAAAATTAAGCGCTGAGAGTTTTCTATAGGGAGAAGTGATCCTTATTTGGACTCTTGCCAATAAATTCCACAAAGACCATTCCAAGCTTAAATGGTTCAGCAATATCAGGAATTCTTAGAGAAAAAGAAAGGGGTATGGAATCAAAGTTTAATTCTCCAAAATTGACTGTAAGTCGCTAACTTAAGCACATTGATTCTAATGGTACTTTAGCATAATTTTTTGTTGTTGTTCATTCGTTCAGTCGTCTCCGACTCTTCGTGACCTCATGGACCAGCCCACGCCAGAGCTCCCTGTCGGCCGTCACCACCCCCAGCTCCTTCAAGGTCAATCCAGTCACTTCAAGGATGCCATCCATCCATCTTGCCCTTGGTCGGCCCCTCTTCTTTTTTCCTTCCATTTTCCCCAGCATCATTGTCTTCTCTAAGCTTTCCTGTCTCTCATGATGTGGCCAAAGTACTTCAACTTTGCCTCTACTATCCTTCCCTCCAATGAGCAGTCGGGCTTTATTTCCTGAAGTATGGACTGGTTGGATCTTCTCGTAGTCCAAGGCACTCTCAGAACTTTCCTCCAGCACCACAGTTCAAAAGCATCTATCTTCCTTCGCTCAGCCTTCCCTATGGTCCAGCTCTCACATCCATAGGTGACTACGGGGAATACCATTGCTTTGACTAGGCGGATCTTTGTTGCCAGTGTGATGTCTCTACTCTTCACTATTTTATGAGATTGGTCATTGCTCTCCTCCCAAGAAATAAACATCTTCTGATTTTCTGGCTACAGTCTGTTCTGCAGTAATCTTTGCACCTAGAAATACAAAGTCGTCACTGCCTCCACATTTTCTCCCTCTATTTCAGTTCAATCATTCTTGTTGCCATAATCTTGGTTTTTTTGACGTTTAGCTGCAACCCGGCTTTTGCGCTTTCTTCTTTCACCTTGATTAGAAGGCTCCTCAGCTCCTCCTCGCTTTCGGCCATCCGAGTGGTGTCATCTGCATATCTGAGGTTGTTAATGTTTCTTCCAGCAATTTTCACCCCAGCTTTGCATTCATCCAGCCCCGCACATCGCATGATGTGTTCTGCATAAACGTTAAAAAGGTTGGGTGAGAGTATGCAGCCTTGCCGTACGCCTTTCCCAATCTTGAACCAGTCTGTTGTTCTGTGGTCAGTTCTGACTGTTGCTACTTGGTCCTTGTACAGATTCCTCAGGAGAGAGACAAGGTGGCTTGGGATGCCCATCCCACCAAGAACTTGCCACAATTTATTATGATCCACACAGTCAAAGGCTTTAGAGTAGTCAATGAAGCAGAAGTAGATGTTTTTCTGAAACTCCCTGCCTTTCTCCATTATCCAGCGGATCTTGGCAATCTGGTCTCTCGTTCCTCTGCCTTTTCTAAACCCAGCTTGAACATCTGGCAACTCTCGCTCCATGTATTGCTGGAGTCTTCCTTGCAGGATCTTGAGCATTACCTTACTGGCATGAGAAATAAGGGCCACTGTACGGAAGTTGGAGCAGTCTTTCGCATTTCCCTTTTTTGGTATGGGGATATAAGTTGATTTTTTCCAGTCTGATGGCCATTCTTGTGTTTTCCATATTTGCTGGCAAGTGGCATGCATCACCTTGACAGCATCATCTTTTAAGATTTTAAACAGTTCAGCTGGGATCCCGTCGTCTCCTGCTGCCTTGTTGTTAGCAATGCTTCTTAAGGCCCATTCAACCTCACTCCTCAGGATGTCTGGTTCTAATTCATTCACCACACCGTCAAAACTATCCTCAATATTATTATCCTTCCTATACAGATCTTCTGTATAGTATCGCCACCTTCTCTTGATCTCTTCAGCTTCTGTTAGGTCCCTGCCATCTTTGTTTCTTATCATACCAATTTTTGCCTGAAATTTACCTCCAATGTTTCTAATTTTCTGGAAGAGGTCTCTTGTCCTTCCTATTCTGTTGTCTTCTTCCACTTCCATTCATTGCTTATTTAAAAATAGTTCCTTATCTCTTCTGGCTAACCTCTGGAATTGCGCATTTAACTGGGCATATCTCCCCTTATCCCTGTTTACTTTTGCTTTCCTCCTTTCTTGGGCTACTTCCAGTGTCTCAGCAGACAACCATTTTGCCTTCTTGGTTTTCTTTTTCTTTGGGACGTACTTTGTTGCCGCCTCCTGAACAATGTCGCGGACTTCTGTCCATAGTTCTTCTGGGACTCTGTTTACTAAATCTAGTCCTTCAAATCTGTTCTTCACTTCCACTGTATATTCGCTAGGAATGTTAGTGAGATCATATCTAACTGGTCTGTGTATTTTCCCTGATCTCTTTAGTTTTATTCTAAATTGAGCAATAAGAAGTTCGTGATCTGAGCTACAGTCAGCCCCAGGTCTTGTTTCACCGACTGGATGGATGTCCGCCACCTTTGGCTGCAAAGGATGTAGTCAATCTGATTTCGGTGCTGACCATCTGGTGAGGTCCATGTATAAAGCCGTCTTTTAGGTTGTTGGAAGAGAGTATTCGTTATACACAGCGAGTTTTCCTGGCAAAATTCTATCAGCCTGCGTCCCACTTCATTTTGTTCTCCCAGACCATGCTTGCCTGTGATCCCAGTTGTCATTTGACTTCCCACCTTGGCATTCCAGTCTCCTGTAATGAAAATAATGTCTCTTTTTGGTGTATTATCCAGTAGTTCCTGCAGATCCTCATAGAACTGATCTACTTCTGCTTCTTCAGCAGCTGTGGTTGGGGCATATATTTGGATCACTGTAATGTTGAAAGGCTTTCCTTGCACTCGAATTGAGATCATTCTGTCATTTTTTGGGTTGTATTCAAGCACTGCTTTAGCGACTTTCTTATTAATTATGAAGGCTACTCCATTTCTTCGATGTTCCTCTTGTCCGCAGTAGTAGATCTGGTGGTCATCTGATGTGAAGTGGCCCATTCCAGTCCATTTCAGTTCGCTGACCCCCAGAATGTCTATCTTTAGTCTTGACATCTCACCAATAACAACATCCAATTTGCCCTGGCTCATAAATCTTACATTCCAGGTTCCTATGGTGTGTTGATCTTTAGAGCATCGGATTCGTCGTTCACCTCCAGCTTAAATTAGCATAATTAAATTAATGCATATAGTGTTACCATTACCATCCAAAAGGAGTGATTAATCATGAGGACATTCTTAGCTGCGTAATGTTAAAGCTGCCTTCATGAAACCTTCATTGGACCAATAACACTCCTTACTAGGGCAAATGACTTCCCACATTTTCCACAAAGCTGGTTGCAACTTTACTATTACTTTGCATTATTTCTTTGGCCTGACAAAACAGGGAGATGAGTTACATATATATTTTAGAACTTACCTTAGTTGCATAATGTGAATAAAATGGAGCTTCTACTGTAAGGTCTTTATTAAACTTCACCTTCCATTGTCCCTTGAGGTAGAGAGCATTTAGTTGCAACAGCTGGGCATGGCAGTCAAAGCTGTCCCCGAGGAGGAGATTCTTGATTTTATCTGGAAAGCAAACAGACACAACAGTTGGTGGTTTGCTACATTTTTAACAATTTGCTTCACATACAACCATTTAATTTTCTACTTTCAGTTTTTCTAATTGGTCTGGACAAAGTCCTTCACTTCCACTCCAGCAAAGACTTTATTACTCCTTTTTAGAACAACCATCTCAGAACCAACAGTAAGAGATCTTCCTTCTCTGACATTTCATTAAACATGAAATAGAAGCAGTGAGTGGATGGTATATTCTTACCTTGTGTCTGAGTCTCAACCCAATCATTGATAATTTTCCTCATTTCCTCTGGGGCATTCTTCAGATTAATTCCCTCTACATCTGTCCGGTAGAGGTTTAGAGCATGAGAAATGAATTTCTGGACAGAAGGAGAGAAATCAGAACTAAGAATCAGTACATTTGTGAATATTGTGTGTTGATAATCCAGAACACACCTCTAACTTTGGAATTATTAAGAATGCTACAAACTGCCTTGAGAGACTTTGCAAAATAGAAATGTTTTCATTTCCTAAAAAGTCAGAAGAGATGTGTTCCTCATATTTTTAAAAGTTTGGAATACAAAATTGACAAAATTCATTTGGAAAAATAAAAAAAATCTCTAGAATTAAAATGAAAAATTTACAAGACTCAAAAGAGAGAAGTGGAAGGGCTTTACCAAACATGGGACTATATTATGACATGGCAGTCTTGATATGGATAAAAGAATGCATTTCTTTTAAAAATGAAAGATTGCTTACAATGGAAGAGTCAGATTTAAAATATGGATGACATGAATATTATGGATGAACAAAACCACAAGAAGATTTTCTACAACTATGAACACTGAGGAATTTTTTTTGGTCTTATAAACAGTTATTAGAAAATAGAACATCATAGAAACTAAAAACACGACAAGAGTTACAAAAAGAAGAATTGGGTTTACTACAATCAACTCAAACAGAGACTTTAATTAGACAAAAAAGGTATACAGGAGTCGGAGAACCAATGGAATCTACTACTGCAGACAATAAATAAACACACTGGGAAAATATATCAGTATCTTCTGAAAGACTACAAAATTAATGAACAAGTAAAAGAACCCATGATTCAATGGGCAAAAAAATTAGAAGAATGGGAAGAACTCTGGAAGAAAATACTACAATTCACAAGAAGATATACCATTAAAGAAAACTTTAACGAAATGATTTATAGAGGGTACGTAACTACAGAAAAACGTTTGGATATATACAAAAGTTCGGACTTCTGCTGGAAATGTAAAAAAAGACAGGAGCTTTCTACCACAGGTGGTGGACTTGCTCATAGGCTAAAGATATTGGGATAAAAATAATAAGGAAATGGAAAACATATTAAAAAACAAAATAACACTGAAACCAGAAACCTTTTTTATGATGATTATTAGACAAGTAAATATGAAAACACCAAGAAAGAATCTTTCTCTATATGACAACAGCAGCAAGAACTGAATATGCCGAATTATGGAAGCAACAAACTACACCAACAGACGATTGGATTACGAAAAAAGCTTTTGAAATGGCTGAAAAAGAACAAATTAACTTTAATTTCACAACAAACTAATTCACAAAAACTGCAAGAAAAATTGAAACATTTTATGGACTTTATAAAAAACCAGAAAGAGATGATCATAACAGGATTTGTGAACTAAAATAATATGAATAATGTATGGATATATTCTGTATCCTAAAACTCAAAATACTGAAGATAACTGATGAGTTAATATATCTAAATCATAATAGAAATGTATATGTATATAAAGTCATAGACATAGACTAATAGAATAAGTATTTACATATTTATTACTAACATATTAACAAAAATAATTTGACACTGGGGTAAGTAAATGGATGGATACAGTATTAAAATTTGGGGGAAAATAGAGTATGTATAAGTAAACTGATAAATAATTAGGAGAAACACTTATTATATAGGCTTGGAGGAGAAGATAAGAAAAAGATGGCATAATACAAGAAGACAGAAGATTAATGCCAACCTCAGATGACAAGAATCTTCTTGTTCTTGGAATAGAAGATATTGTAGAGGAAATTTCTTTATATACTTGAGAATATGTATAACAATACCCTCCCCCTCTATGTCCTCAGCGATACAATAGACTCCTGTGTAGATTTAATTTACTAACAAAAACTCTGTAATCTATATTATATTTTTCTTTACCTTCCATACTTCCCTCCCTTTTCTTTATGCCATAAAACTGTGAATAAAAAACTTGTGAAGATAATTTCTTACTAATCTTGTATAAGGTTTCAGAATATCAATTTCTGCTGGCACAGCACTTTGTAAAATAACAAATAGCTATACTAATGGAATAAATATGCATATTTTGATGGAAACTGAAAAACCTTTAATACTTTTGGCCATTATGCTGTAGCGGACCCATCATGTGGTTTGAAATTTGAGAGTTACCTGAATGAAGGCAATGGAATGGTCTCCATAGAGCTTGTTGGCAATACTCAGAGTATATTTGTTGCTGAGTGCATTCAGAGCTTCAAGGACTTTGCTAAATGCAATATGGACTCCCTCGGATGCTTCATGCTCATCATCTGGAACATCCTAATAACAAAAAACGAAAAATGAAGGTTATGTCTAATCCCATTTGGCAGGTGGTGCTTTGATGCTCTTTTGGTACTCCTTTCTCCCTCAAGCCACATGTGGCCAAAATACTTTTATTTCCTACCTTCTTAGGTGATTACAATATAGAAGATCTAAGAAGTAGCAGCAATGTTATAATCATAGTTAGAACAGAAATATCAGTCCTACTGTATTTTCCAAGTTAAAAGGAGAGTTGTAATGAACCCCAAACCCAAGCAGAAGGCCAAACATGTCCCAGCATGACATCAGTCCAACCTATTCACAGAGCGTATAGAGATAGATTCAATTCAAACACTGTTAAATGTCTACAAATGTCACTCTCAACTTCTGGAAAGATTTCATCAGAGCTGCCTTTATAAATTCCTGCAAATCCCTTGGGAAGACAAGTGGACAAACATCAGCATTCTGGAGGAAAGCAAAGACCACCAGCATTGAAACAATTCTCTGCCATCAACTTCACTACTGCCATGTTGCCTGAATGTCTGATCACCATCTCCCAAAGCTTCATTCCCAAATTGAGAATGGAAAACAGAATGTTGATGGAGAACAAAAGAGATTTAAACATGGGCTTAAAGCTAACCTAAAAAAATTGTATAAACACCAAGAAGTAGGAAGCCATAGTGCTATGGTTTCTGAAGAGACAAATACAGAGCGAAAGAAAGAAACATGCCAGTAGGAAAGCACATCAAATAAATTTTTGTCAGGACTGCCTTCCATCTGTAAATCCATGTCCTCAATGTGAAAGACCATGTGGATCCAGAATAGGGCTTCTCAATTATTTAGAGATCCACCACTGTGACACTATCTCTGGAAGACAATCATACCTGGCTATGAGTAATCACCTATTATTATGATTTTATAAAACTTCAGAGTTCTGTAAAGAATGAAAGTTCGCATGAGCAATATCTAACACTAATATGTTAATCCATCTCTGAAATCTATATGACCAGATCAAAATGTAGACAAAGCTTGTTTGTTGTTTAAGAGAATCATCTCAGGGTCTGGCACTGTATGTGACTATAACATCTGGTTATAGACCTGGGCACATAATATTTAAAGTTACAACATTTCTAGCGTAACACATATAATAGAGCTCAGAAAACAATGCAGGTCATGGGGAGACATCAACTATTGTCAAGAAGGAATTTGTTTTGTGCACAACTTACAATATTTTGTATAGGGAGGGGGGAAACAGTTCTATTGTTGTGTCTTTTGATGATGAGAACATTTTTAGATCCTTGTTTTTGACTGTTCCATTAAACTACTCTATCTGTCTATCTATTCATCCACCTATGATTATATAATATTTCACTGTATTTCTGTACAAGATCGAACATGGCAAATATTTCACCACTTACTTTATCAGTGCCAAGTTCTTCGGGTTTGCTATCATGAGAAGGACGTGAATGGCGTCTGCTTTGCTCACTCCCAGGCATTATGGGCTGTTCTGATTCTGAACTGGATGCCACTGGATGGGTTGTAGGTCTTTGTTTGGGCCATGTTGATTGAGGTTGGAGTCTTGGTCTAGAGTTTTCTGATTCAGAATGTTCTGGCTCATGATGGGATCTTGGTCTGGAGTGTGCTGACACAGATGTCTGTTTTGGCCAAGTTCGTTCAGGCTGGGCTTCCCGTTTAGAGTCTTCCTCTCCAGGGTGGCCTGGCTCAGGATGGGTTCTTGGTCTGAGATGTGCTTCATCAGGCCTACATTCAGATGCAGACTCTTCTTTTTCACGGTGGCCTGGCTCAGTCTCAGGTCTTGGTCTAGAGCGTTCTGCCTCTGGACGAGATCTTGGTTCTGAATGTTCTGGTTCATGATGGGCTTCTCTATTAGAGTCCTCCCTTTCTGGACGGCCTCGCTCGGCATGGGTTCTTGGTCTGGGGCGTGCTTCATCAGGCCTACATTCAGATGCAGAGCCTTCTTTTTCACGGTGTCCTGGCTCAGTGTCAGGTCTTGGTCTGGAGCGTTCTGCCTCTGGACGAGATCTTGGTTCTGAATGTTCTGGCTCACGATGGGCTTCTCGTTTAGAGTCTTCCCTTTCTGGACGGCCTTGCTCGGCATGGGTTCTTGGTCTGGGGCGTGCTTCATCAGGCCTACATTCAGATGCAGAGCCTTCTTTTTCACGGTGTCCTGGCTCAGTGTCAGGTCTTGGTCTGGAGCGTTCTGCCTCTGGACGAGATCTTGGTTCTGAATGTTCTGGCTCACGATGGACTTCTCGTTTAGAGTCTTCCCTTTCTGGACGGCCTCGCTCGGCATGGGTTCTTGGTCTGGGGCGTGCTTCATCAGGCCTACATTCAGATGCAGAGCCTTCTTTTTCACGGTGTCCTGGCTCAGTGTCAGGTCTTGGTCTGGAGCGTTCTGCCTCTGGACGAGATCTTGGTTCTGAATGTTCTGGCTCACGATGGGCTTCTCGTTTAGAGTCTTCCCTTTCTGGACGGCCTTGCTCGGCATGGGTTCTTGGTCTGGGGCGTGCTTCATCAGGCCTACATTCAGATGCAGAGCCTTCTTTTTCACGGTGTCCTGGCTCAGTGTCAGGTCTTGGTCTGGAGCGTTCTGCCTCTGGACGAGATCTTGGTTCTGAATGTTCTGGCTCACGATGGACTTCTCGTTTAGAGTCTTCCCTTTCTGGACGGCCTCGCTCGGCATGGGTTCTTGGTCTGGGGCGTGCTTCATCAGGCCTACATTCAGATGCAGAGCCTTCTTTTTCACGGTGTCCTGGCTCAGTGTCAGGTCTTGGTCTGGAGCGTTCTGCCTCTGGACGAGATCTTGGTTCTGAATGTTCTGGCTCACGATGGACTTCTCGTTTAGAGTCTTCCCTTTCTGGACGGCCTCGCTCGGCATGGGTTCTTGGTCTGGGGCGTGCTTCATCAGGCCTACATTCAGATGCAGAGCCTTCTTTTTCACGGTGTCCTGGCTCAGTGTCAGGTCTTGGTCTGGAGCGTTCTGCCTCTGGACGAGATCTTGGTTCTGAATGTTCTGGCTCACGATGGACTTCTCGTTTAGAGTCTTCCCTTTCTGGACGGCCTCGCTCGGCATGGGTTCTTGGTCTGGGGCGTGCTTCATCAGGCCTACATTCAGATGCAGAGCCTTCTTTTTCACTGTGTTCTGGCTCAGTGTCAGGTCTTGGTCTGGAGCGATCTGCCTCTGGACGAGATCTTGGTTCCAAATGTTCTGGCTCACGATGGGCTTCTCGTTTAGAGTGTTCCCTTTCTGGATGGCCTCGCTCGGCATGGGTTCTTGTTCTGGGGCGTGCTTCATCAGGCCTACATTCAGATGCAGAGCCTTCTTTTTCACGGTGTCCTGGCTCAGTGTCAGGTCTTGGTCTGGAGCGTTCTGCCTCTGGACGAGATCTTGGTTCTGAATGTTCTGGCTCACGATGGGCTTCTCGTTTAGAGTCTTCCCTTTCTGGACGGCCTTGCTCGGCATGGGTTCTTGGTCTGGGGCGTGCTTCATCAGGCCTACATTCAGATGCAGAGCCTTCTTTTTCACGGTGTCCCGGCTCAGTTTGAGGTCTTGGTCTGGAGCGTTCTGCCTCTGGACGAGATCTTGGTTCCAAATGTTCTGGCTCACGATGGGCTTCTCTCTTAGTGTCTTCCTTTTCAGGGCGGCCTCGCTCGGCATGAGTTCTTGTTCTGCGGTGTGCTTCATCAGGCCTACATTCAGATGCAGAGTCTTCTTTTTCACGGTGGTCTGGCTCAGTCTCAGGTCTCGGTCTGGAGCGTTCTGCTTCTGGACGAGATCTTGGTTCCAAATGTTCTGGCTCACGATGGGCTTCTCTCTTAGTGTCTTCCTTTTCAGGGCGGCCTCGCTCGGCATGAGTTCTTGTTCTGCGGTGTGCTTCATCAGGCCTACATTCAGATGCAGACTCTTCTTTTTCACGGTGGTCTGGCTCAGTCTCAGGTCGTGGTCTGGGGCGTTCTGCCTCTGGACGAGATCTTGATTCAGAATGTTCTTGCTCATGATGGATTTCTCGTTTGGAATCTTCCTTTTTACGGTGCTCTCTCTCAGCATGGGTTCTTGGTCTGGGGTGTGCTCCATCAGGCCTACATTCACATGTAGAGTCTTCTTTTTCATGGTGGTCTGGCTCAGCCTGTGGCCTTGGTCTGCCGTGTTCTGCCTCTGGACGGGATCTTTGTTCAGAATGTTCTGGCTCAGGATGGGCTTCTCGTTTAGATTCTTCTGGACGGCCTCTCTCGTCATGGGTTCTTGGTCTGCGGTGTACTTCTCCAGGCCTACATTCAGATGCCGAGTCTTCTTTTTCACGGTGGTCTGGCTCAGTCTGATGTCTTGGTCTGCCCTGTTCTACCTCTGGACGGGATCTTGTTTCAGAATGTTCTGGCTCACGATGGGCTTCTCGTTTAGAGTCTTCTGGATGGCCTCTCTCGTCATGGGTTCTTGGTCTGCGGTGTGCTTCATCAGGCCTACATTCAGATGCAGAGTCTTCTTTTTCACGGTGGTCTGGCTCAGCTTGAGGTCTTGGTCTGGAACGGGCTGTCTCAGAATGGCTTCTTGTTGCAGATTCTTCAGATTCAGGATGTTCTGTCTCAACATGGGTTCTTGCTCTGGAGTGTCTTTGGTCAGGCCAACGTCCTGATGTAGAGGTTTCCTTTACAGGGTGGTCTGTTTCACTATGTGCTCTTGGTCTGGGGTGTGCTTCCTCAGACCTACATTCAGGTTCAGAGTCCTCTTTTTCATGGTGGTCTGGCTCGGTCTGAGGTCTTGGTCTGGAGGCTGCTGCTTCTGGTCGTGATCTTGGTTCCAAATGTTCTGGCTCACGGTGGGCTTCTCGTTTAGAGTCTTCCTTTTCAGGGTGGGCTCGCTCAGGATGGCTTCTTGGTCTGGAACGTTCCGCTTCTGAATGAGATCTTGATTTTGAGTCTTCTGCTTCAGGACAGATTGAGTCAGGATGGGTTTCTGATTTAGAGTCTTCATGTTCAGAGTGCGATGACTCAGGTCTTGGTCTGGGACGTGCTGCCTCAGAATGGGGTCTTTTTGCTTGTTGTTCAGATTCAGGATGTTCTGACTCAGCATGGGTTCTTCCTCTGGAGTGTCTTTCCTCAGGCCTACGTCCAGTTATAGAGTCTTCTTTTACTGGGCGGTCTGACTCAGCATGTTCTCTTGGTCTGGGGTGTGTTTCATCAGGCCTACATTCAGATGCAGAGGGTTCTTTTTCACGGTGGTCTGGCTCAGTCTGAGGTCTTGTTCTGGAACGTTCTGCTTCTGAACGAGATCTTGATTTGGAGTCCTCTGCTTCAGGACAGGCTGACTCAGGATGGGTTTCTGATTTAGAGTCTTCATGTTCAGGATGGGAGGACTCAGTTCTTGGTCTAGTTCGCGCTGCCTCAGTATGAGGTCTTTTTGCTGATTCTTCAGATTCCGGATGTTTTGACTCAGCGTGGGTTCTTTCTCTGGAGTGTCTTTCCTCAGGCCTACGTCCAGTTATAGAGTCTTCTTTTACTGGGCGGTCTGACTCAGCATGTTCTCTTGGTCTGGGGTGTGTTTCATCAGGCCTACATTCAGATGCAGAGGGTTCTTTTTCACGGTGGTCTGGCTCAGTCTGAGGTCTTGTTCTGGAGCGTGCTGCTTCCGGACGTGATCTTGGTTCAGAATGTTCTGGCTCATGATGGGCTTCTCGTTTAGAGTCTTCTTTTTCAGGGTGGCCTCCCTCAGGATGGCTTCTGGGTCTGGAATGTTCTGCTTCTGGATGAGATCTTGATTTGGAGTCTTTTGCTTCAGGGCAGGTTGACTCAGGATGGGTTTCTGATTTAGAGTCTTCATGTTCGGGGTGGGATGACGCAGGTCTTGATCTGGGGCGTGCTGCCTCAGAATGAGATCCTTTTGCAGATTCTTCAGGTTCAGGATTTTCTGATTCAGCATGGGTTCTTGCTCTGGAGTGTCTTTCCTCGGGCCTACGTCCAGCTGTAGAGTCTTCTTTTACTGGATGGTCTTCCTCAGAACGTGGTCTTGGTCTGGAGTGTATTTCATCAGGCCTACATTCAGATGCAGACTCTTCTTTTTCACGGTGGTCTGGCTCTGTCTGAGGTCTTGGTCTGGAGCGTTCTGCTTCCGGACGAGTTCTTGGGTCAGAATGTTCTGGTTCACGATTGGGTTCTCGTTTAGAGTCTTCCTTTTCAGAGTGGTCTTGCTCAGGATGGCGTCTTGGTCTGGAACGTTCCGCTTCTGGACAATGGGGACTTGGTTTGGGAGGGATATCAATTATTTCTTGATTCTGAAATGACAGTTTAAGATACATGTATTATGATACACTGCAGGTGCAATCCCATTTTTCCAAAAAGGAATTCTTGTGAAATCTTATTTACATGAAGCCACATTTATCTTTCAAGATAATTGAAATAAATATTTGTTAGATAGATTGCTTTTCACCCAAACAAAACACAACATAACACAATGAAACTGAATAAAATAAAACCAAAGTGC